TTACATCTGCACCTTTCTTAAGAAGAATCTTTGTTAATTCCATGTTATTCGCTCTGATTGCTTCACACAAAGCTGAAGAATCTCTTTCAGCAAATTCTTTTGCAGTGTTATTGATATCAGCGCCATGTTTCAACAACAAAAGAGCCATTTCTTTATTACTATTTTTACAAGCCATTGTCAAAGCATTGAATTTTCCTTCTTTCACGTCATCTTTGTATTGGAACCTTTTGAAAAGTAATTTAACAAGTTCTAAGTTATTCATTCTTGCTGCGTAAAAGAAAGCTTTGCATAACTCATTGTCTTTCAAAGCAGAAGACCTATAAATACGAGGTTCTAATCCCCATTCATCTTCTTCATCAGAACCAATGTTTTCTCCTTTGATTGCAGGAGATTTCATAGTTTTCGGACCATTTTCGAATGCGTACTTAACAATTTCAGGTAAATCATATTTGCAGGCATCATTGTATACTTTGTTATTCGCCAAACCGTTGCAAATTCTAAATAATCCAAATTTAAGGTTAAGGATACCCTTACATTGCGTAGTTAGAAAGAGAATATGATATTGTCATGATTGCGAAAGTTTTAGGCTCCAGAAATGAATATACATCAAACTGAAACAATTGATAAATTGAATGAACTTTTGAGAGGTTCTCAAATAAAAAAAATTATCTCATTTTTTACAATATTACTATTATTTTATCCACATATGTATATATAGTAATTTGAGAAAACTTTTAGGAAAAAATAAGTTTAATAAAAATCTGAATTTTACTTGTTGTGGGATTGTTATTAATTGACACTCCAGACGTATTACTAATAGTTATGCGTATGCAATTAAAGTATTTCTGATGGACAAAATGTGAGATTTATATCAGATAATTCATTTCTACTATTAAGTTATTCATTTATGAGTTTGCACTTATTCGCACTAAATAAATAACTATTAAAAATTGTTTTAATTAATTGACACCATATAATAGAGTGAATTTTGTTTGATCAAACAACAATAGATGATAGATATAAAGCCAAGAAACTTGCTATTAATATGCTCTACTTGCTATTTCAATGTAAGTATGATATTTTCTAAATGTTTCGTTCAGATAACTTAGATATATTAGTCAAAATTTGAAATTTTAATAGCACATATATTAAAAATAATTATTATTCATAAAAGATTAATGAAATAGTAAAAAAAATCAATCAAATTATAAAAATACAACATTTAGAAGAATTCTTATTATCCTTCAAAAAGTCAGTATTTCTGCTGTAATTTTCTACAACATTGTAGTTATTGCACTTTGTCTATGGATTTGTATATATGTTATATATAAATTATATATCTAAACTGCCCATAAGTGCAATTTTTATATAAATTGTTTATTTCTTTAACAATTTCATATAAAATATGCTTTTTTAAGCGTATCAAAGCTGTGTTCTTAATGTGCATGGATATATCAAGAAAAATGTCGAAAAAAAATGTGAATTCACAAATTCACTGAATTTTCACCGTTTTTGAATTTTGCTACAGCACTAATATTAAATAATACTAAAATCTTCTGTCTTTGTAAAAGAATAAATTCTGACAAAAAGTGCTCGTTTAAATTTAATGATCATCTGTATGACTAAGTGGTAAAAAGTGTTTATGACCAAAAAAGGGTTACATGCTTAGTCTATTTTTCTGACAGGATACTCTAGATTTACATGATCTCTATTTCATATCTCCGTTTTTAGATTCTTCGACAGATTTTATGATAGAAAACCAAGATTAACAAATTTCCGGCATGTTAATGAAGAAATCTGCCGCTACCTCAATATATTTCAATAATCAGTGTCGTTTCTCTTACAATTTATTTTTTTCTCAATAATTTAACAAGAAATAACAATACACACTTGGTTTTACGTATAAAAGCTAAGTGTCGAACTTAATCAACTTTACTTACTTAGCAAATGAATATTTTTGTGGTTGCGAGTTCTGAATGCTGAAGTTTTAGATTTCTCTATAAATGATATCATTGCACTTACAATGTTGTTCCAGCCTATCGCATAAATCATAGAAAATCCAAAAAAAAAAAAATATAAAGAAAATTCATGTCATGAAGTTCAAAAAATACCGTGTAACATTAAAATTTGTTATGCATAATACATTTTAGCTATTATTGATTTTTTTTAATTTTCGAGAAATTGAATGGTGAGTCCGATAGAGAAATTTTTAAAAATCCTAGTGCCTCATAGAAGTAATTTCCCTCGTCTCCCATACTTCCAAATGTATGCATATGACATAAACTTTTATGCATTACACAAGTGGCCAATAATATCTATAGAGTAAAAAATTAGAAATTTAATTTTTTTATATGATAGTTATATTTCAGATTTGCGAGCGTAACTTTTTTCTCCATGGCATACTTGTTTTAAGAGCAAATGATCAAAATCGTCCTTCAATTATTGAAGGAGCTGATATCTTTTGAAAATTGAATTGAAAGAGTATTCAATTTTCAAATTTCCTCTCAATTTTGGAAACATATCAACTCTATGAATTAACAATTATGTGCCTTCACAGTTTATCAGTCATATAAGGTGCTTATAAAGAAAAAAGTTACGCTCGCAAAATATGTTTTTATATAGATTTCACATAAAATAATTATGTAATTTCTAAAAAGAATATTTTTGTTCTTGAATATTAAAATGTATTGTAGTTTAAAAAGTTTTAAATATGTTGCTAAAATTTCAGGTTTATAGCTCATGTCTAGCATGACTTCTTCGTATGCGCAAAAAATCTGACACGTAAGGGTATCCTTAAGCAAAATATTATGACAATCATTTTTCACGTCTTCGATCTTGTAGTCCTTTTCCAACATGTACTCAATGATATCGTTATATCCACAAGCAGCCGGATACTTGAAACTGTAAGAATAAGATTTCTCAAACTTTTTAATTAAATCCAAATTTCCTGACATCAAAGGATGATATTGTATGAACTTAGGCAATAGATTCTTCTCTTCTAAGAACTGTATACACTTGACACAGTTCATTGATGCAAAAACTTGGAAAATGATGTTTGTATTCACTTCGTAATTATTAAAAATTTCTTCAAATTTTTGTACATCGTCGTTTAGAAATATTTCTCTGAGTTCTGGCTGGCCGAGCTCTAAACTGAACGTTTTGTAATAGTACTTCTTGTCGCTCTCGTAAATTTTTTTCTGCTGTGTTTTGATGTCAATTTTGTTCTTTTGTATATCTTGAATTAAAATTGAAGTGGAATATGGGAGTGTAACGACTCTGTCTGCGCAAACTGAGATGAGAAGGTCAATTAAGAACTTTCTTTGAGAGACTCTGTATTCGTATACGACTGTAATTAAATCAATGATATAAATCAACTTGGATTCGTTGTAATCGACTATTACCTTCTCGAAATCATGAAAGTGCTGGTTTGGATGTTTGAAAGAGAAGCGAAGTTCATGTTTTTCTTGATTGTCTTTGATAAAATTATTAACATTTGTAATTACATCAGGAAGAAGAGTAGGGGTAATTTTAGCTAAAAGTGACACGCCTGTAAAAAGTGACACACCTGTGAAGGGTGTGATTACCGATCGGTAATTTCGACAGTTTAGAATTTAAAATTTTTTATGGGGCTGTTGCGAGTTTCATAAAGAATTTAAGGAATATAAGCAAAGATTTGAATCAAAATCTTCGAACTAAGCCGCTCGATTCGCTCGCGGCTTTCTTTATTATTTTAAATTTGCATATTTCCATCAAAAGTTCATAAGGTAAAAAATTTCGTTTATTTTTACTAAGAAAAAAAAAGTTTTTGATAATAAATTTATTTTATTTCGAAAAAGTAGCAATAATCGTAAAAGGGTATTGATAGGCTTGCTAAAGTAACTAATTTTAGCTGTCAAATACTTTTGTATTTTGAAGTAAATTAGTATAAATTTGTTTTTACTTTTATTTCGAAAAAGTAGCAATAATCGTAAAAGGGTATTGATAGGCTTGCTAAAGTAACTAATTTTAGCTGTCAAATACTTTTGTATTTTGAAGTAAATTAGTATAAATTTGTTTTTACTTTTATTTCGAAAAAGTAGCAATAATCGTAAAAGGGTATTGATAGGCTTGCTAAAGTAACTAATTTTAGCTGTCAAATACTTTTGTATTTTGAAGTAAATTAGTATAAATTTGTTTTTACTTTTATTTCGAAAAAGTAGCAATAATTGTAAAAGGGTATTGATAGGCTTGCTAAAGTAACTAATTTTAGCTGTCAAATACTTTTGTATTTTGAAGTAAATTAGTATAAATTTGATATTATTTTAACTCCCTTTGAAAACCTCAATTTTCCATACAGAGGGAACGGGAATAGCATCCAATATTCCCTGACAATGGTTGCGCATTCTCAGTTCCCTCTATATTTCGAACGAAGCTCTCATCGGTCTTTTTTTTTAATACTAAACGTTTTTTTCCTGTCACTTTTAGCTAAAATTTGGGTTTGCCTCAGGAAGAATGGCATCATTGATATTCCAGACCATCTCATTGATTTCAAGGAGTGGTTTGATATAGTCTGGGATTGGTATCTCCGATAATTTTTTGAATTTTAGTGGCTGTTCCTGATCTTTACCAAACATCAGTGGCTGGTGTTCTCAGTTTGTATTATTAATATACTATATATATAGAATACATATAAATAAAAAACGTATTCTATTGGCTAATTGTCCAGCAGAAAATGATTTTTCCAGCAATTGAAATTGTCATAATCTTCTATTATGAGCTTGATAGGTATTTGAGCAGAGCAACAGACACAGAAGAAGTAAGATAATATATACAAGCTATTGCAAGTCATACAGTTAGTATATCGAATGAAAATTCAATTAGATTATTGGTCATTTTACTGGATTTCGGACAATATATCAACGCTCGCACCTTTTTATATCATTTGATAGTATTGCGCAGTAAAATATTTCATACCTTTGTAGTTAAAATTCTGGAAAAATTTTGGTGGAATATTTTTTTATATGGAAGAAAAGAAATTTACTGTCGTCGTTATAGGCGAAAGGTATTCTGGCAAAAGTACTTTCATATATCGAGTTATTCAAAAGGTATTCGATGCTGAACGTCAAGAATCAATAGCAACTTCCGTGATTAATTATGAAAGATTATATCATGATGTAAATTACAAAATTCAATTTTGGGATACACCAGGTACTATGAATTCCTTAAATTATACAAAGTCCACATTCAAATCCGCATTTATCGTTCTTGTTTTCTTTGATCCATCACCATTAGAGGAGCATTCCGCTCCAACTATCGAACATTTACCAGATTGGGTGAAACTTGCTAAAGAATCTGTCGATAACATCTATATTGTAGCTTCATTTTCCGATTTATGGGAAAAAGATAATCCACCTTATGACAAACGTAGTTATGAGAAGAAATACAAAGGTATTCCGATGTTTGAAATCTCTAGTAAGACTGGCGATGGAATTGAATTACTTTTAGATTCTATTTGTTATCTATATGAACAAAAGGGACAAAACGCAGATAGAGGTGTTAAATTAACTGAGAAAAAGAAGGATGGTTCATGCTGTAAATAAAATATTATGAATTTAAATAATTTTATATAACGTTTTTAAAATTATATATAATCTGAATCATCGAAGAAACCAATGAGCCAATGTATCTATATTTTCACAGTTTGTTTCGATTATAAGGAATAATATTTAATTTGATAAAACATTATTCTCTTCGAATTATATTTAATCATGCACACAGATGGTATCATGCAAGGAAGTAATTTGCCGCATATATTATTCAGAGCATGAAAAATAAACCGAAATAGATTTCAACATTTGTTAATTAACCGATTGATACTTATTAAGTCGGTTAAAATGCAAGTTCAAAGTCAAATATAATAGTTATCATTAAGTATGTTGATCAAATCCGCTTTAATTTGATGAAACAATTTAACAATTTTTTATTTTTCTAAAACTATAAAGCAATTTTATAATTTCCAGATTCTTCACAGCATTTACATGTTAATGATGCAATTTTTATGAAATATCGATTTTGGCAACTTCAAAAAATAATGAGAATTTTCCAAGAAAAAGATCTTTAGCATGGCATGCATACTAGCTACACAAGTCTATACACAGCTTTATCAGACCAAAAATTATGTACGACGGTTTTTGTAAATTTTGACATAATTCTCCAATTCATCATGTGAAAACGCTGAATACTATTAGGCAAATCTATATAACAAATATTATCTTTGATTCGGATTTTCAATGTGAATTATGGTTGTTCTCAATTTTTTGAATTCTTTTTCAAGACTATTTTTTCAATCAATCAACCATTCTTCTAGAATGGTAGCCCAAAACCATCATGAATCCAAGTCAACAAGACAGAAGTTCACTGCTGAAGAAGATGCTCGTTTAATAGATCTTGTTAGAATCCATGGAAACAAAGCTTGGAAGAAAATTGCCTCCATTATGAAGACAAGAACCACAAGACAATGCCGTGAACGTTATATTAATTACCTATCTCCAAATGTAACCAATGGCCCTTGGACAGCCGAAGAAGAGCTACTTCTCATTGAGAAAGTCCAGGAGATGGGACCAAGATGGTCTAAGATTGCAAAGTATTTCCAATCCCGCTCAGATGTTAACATAAAGAACAGATATGCTCTCTTTGTTTCAAAGGGAAGAGCTCCAGCTCTCCAACCAATCCCAAGAGAGAAACATACTAGCCAGCTCAGATTGTAATACCAAATCAGGTTGTAGCACAAAAGGATTTGGTAATTAGTAGTCCAATAATTAATGAACAGAAACCTTCAGTAGACGAATTAATTGATTCGCTCTGCAACGAAGAAGAAGATCAAGATCAGTCATATTTTATTCCTAGTGATCCAGAAACCATTTCTTGGAACGATAGTTTCGATTTCTCTGTCTTGTAATTCAATATAAAATTGTTTATTATGCTATTCAATTTTTTCAATGATTTAAGAATGGAACCTCTGAATTTTTATCCATTATCGAAATGAATTATTAAATATTCTATGTAGAGTTGTTTTCATAAGTTTTATTTTTGAACGTGCTTCTCAAATTTTATAACCTCTGAATAAGATACGATAATTTCTTTCAATAATTTCAACATTTAATTTTTCAATATGAATAGTATAAAAATGGATTTTTATCCAATAAATTTAACTCAGCGATAGATCAATGCAATAATTACCATACTTTTTGATCGTTTTCCTAAACCGAAGTTTTAAATAGATAAATTAATGCTATTTATTGGTAAAGCAAATGATGTGGATTGCAAATATTCAGTTTTTGGAATTATTACAATGAAAATTATTTTGCCAAATTTAAACCATGATATTTATTAATATTTACTCATAAAATTAAATCTCATATAGCTATGACTTTCGAAAATAAAATATATTCAGGAAATGATTGAAAGATTTTTCCATCTTTGAATTCCTTGTCTATATTCAGATAATAAAACAGTTAAGATCATATACTACTTAGTGTAAACTATTTAAAAATAAATCACATACTTTATATTGTTGGAGTGAATCCATAATCTATAACATACTTTATTATTATTCGCGATTTGATTGATGCGTTGTGAGGATGCAGACTTGACAATTCTGGGGCATTTTGGCAATTCTTAAAAAATTTCAGGTGAAATTGGCGCCCTTCGGAGGCCAATTTCGCCCAATAAGATAAGCATATCATATACATATTTCCGGAGAAGACTTACATGGCAAATAGATTTCCTACTAATCATGAAAATTATCATTCCGATCATAACGATATAAAAATTATTCCATCATCACTTGTGATTAGGAAAAAAATCGATGATAAAGGTGATTGCGAATAATTTTCTTTTGGGTTTTAAAAAGCCATCATATGGGGTTTTGATTGAAAGAATACATTAACTTTGAATGTCGATCTTTTAAGTGAATGTTATCCCGTTCTGCCTTAGGAATACCACACCTCTTTTGTAATATCTCACCAAACTTATCCTTTCAAAATGTTTGTATTTCTTTTCGCCTTAGGAATACCTCTTACCTTTGGTAATATCTTACCAAAACTTATCCCATCAATATGTTTGTATTCCTTTTCGCCTTAGGAAGGCCGCTCCTATTTGGTAGTATCTCACCAGAAGGCAGGTTTTGGAAAGTTTTTTCAATTAATGATTTCCATAATAATGCGAGTCCCGCAGATCCAAAGTGTAATCATGAAGATCCTGGTTGCCAGTGGAATGAAGGAGTTCAGGGTTATAAATGCACTAAGGTACAAGATAACGCTAACGATGATGATGATAGATGCTTTGGATATTTCGAATACACTCGAGATCCTGACCATTTAATTGATGAAGACTATATTACCGAATTTAAATTCAGATGTGAACTTACTGGCGGTGGAAGATGCCTTTTTGATATTTCCACTCCTTCTGGAATCTCTATTCAAAAATATATTTATGCAAACCAAAATGATGGAAATGAAAATATGTTAATCTACAACAATGGAAAACCATATAAAGGTAGTATTAATGTTAGAGTTTATCTTCATCCTTATTCTACTGATACAGTTTTCAAAAATGTATCAATTATTCCTATTAGAACAGGTCTTGCTCTTGTATCTATTCCAAATTATATTGAAAGTGATACTAGAACAGAAAGATTACCAACAGGTAAAAAAACGCCAATCCAAACCCAAAATGGATTAACAGCATACAGAGCATCAATCAAATTGTACAAAGAGAATGAAAAGATTCCCGGTTTATCAACCAAAGTCTTACTAAACAGTTTCAAACTATCTTCTACTCAGAAGAAGTATACAGAAAAACTTACAGGATCGGAAGATTTGAAGCTTCTCTCTCCTATCATTGCAAATGACCAATATATTATTGGTGTTGATATATTTAAGAAAGATTTTTTCATCGATTGGACAGTATCTGAAGTAACAGATGCCAGATATATGGCCGCCTCATCATTAACTTTGAATATAAAGCCGCTTGAAGATCTAGAATAACTGAGCCAAAATTTCATATATTGTGATTGAAGCATCTCCGAAATCATATCTCGATGCAATGGAAATATGGCATAAAGCATTCCCAGAATTATATGGAGACAATCCTTATGGAAAAGCATCGATTGCAGTAAATGCAGATACAAATGAATGGAGCTGCCATCAATCCGATATTGTTAATAAATATGGTGCAAAATTAATTTGGGAGTCATCTACACCGCAAAAAACAGTAGATGGAACATTAAACTTCAATGAAATTGACCCATATTCTATCAAAATTACTCAAACAAAAAACACTACCACTTTTGACCAGAATTGTCCTGATACTGCAGAAGAATGTAAATTAGTTAAGAAATATGGTATACGAGATTCATCCGGTGCTCTAAGAGGTACTCAAGAAAATGATTATCTTTTATGTCCAGTTATTTTATCGGATGAGGTTATAGAATACCAGCTAAAGAGTTATTATGAAAAGAAAGAAACAATTTGCTATGATGGCGTAGCAATTCGAAACTTTGACCAAACATTTGCAAGTTATGGCCTCTCTCATGATGTTATTAAGACTGTCTCTCCATATGTATTATATACAGATAACGATGATCAAGAATACATCAATTCTTACTGTGGTATGTTTAAAATTTTAAAAAAATTGGAAAATGATTCTCCAAAAGGCTTCATTGTTGAGTCCCATAAAATTTATCCACAAAGTGCACAGTTCATTGGTTCAGTTCTCTACAAGCATCGACGACGTGAGCAATATAGTATTTTCCAAGATCCAGATAAAATAGGCCTTTGGAACACCCGATTTTCTCTTGGCTCGAAGGTCATTTCTTTAATGGATGAATTAGGTTCGGATTATAAAGAAGACTGGATGTGCACGGCTCCGGTCATTGGCGCAATGGTCACAGGCATCAAATATAGAGAAACTGAGAATATTTGGCAAAATTACTCTGCTTTATTTACTTACCTTAATGCATCTTATGATAGATATGGAACATTGTTTAATGACATTTTCGACGATGCGACTTACATGGCAAATGGAGATAGCAGAGTTGAAGAAAATCCATTTTTCTATTTTGCTGTATATTGCAAGAATGATGGCTCCAATTGTTACGCAAATTTTGTTCACTCTAAGAATGCTAACACAAAATATTATATAAAAATGAAAGATACTGATGCAACTTGCAATACAAAACAAGGTGATGGTGTTTCATGCACAAAGTTAGAAGGACGATAAGATCGTAAGCACTTTTATCAAAATCCCCGGTAGAAAATTTGTCATTTTCATAGTCTTTCATGTTTTTTGTTTTCTTTAGCCTAATTACATCAAAGCCCAATGATAACGACCTACTTATCACACAAGATATGGTCGACAAGATCAATTCTAATTCTAACTCATCATTTAAAGCCCATTTATATCCAAAATTTGCAAAAATGACTATTAAAGATGCAAAAAGATTTTTAACACCAGTTCGTTCACCACCAAAGAAACAAGGCTCAGCCATCCCTGTTGGAGCTGATGAAACAAGATACAAAGGAAATAAGAATTTCATATTTGCAGGAATCTGGCAACAGGATCTTAGTACAACCGACGAAAAGACATATAATGTTCCAATTTATGATGTTACCAATCTCTGCTCCTCCTGGGCCCCTTCAGTTACCTCAGCTATGTCAGTTTCTGTTGGACGCTGGGCCAACAGGTTTATGAACTTCTCTCTTCAGTTTGTACTTGATTGCGACATACTCGGAGATGCTTGCATTGAGAGATCAGCCTTAAATGCTTATTCATTGTTCTGGAAGACAAAGATTCCAGAAGCTTCAAGATGGGATGATCCAAATTCGAATACAAGCCCAAGAAAATCCAACCTCCAGGCTCCTGTTTCTTCCCTTACAAGCGAAATTTGCTTAAATCCAACAGGATGCTACCCAGGAACTACTGGTTGCAGCCGTTCATACGCTCTTACAGGCAGCTGTGATCCATCAGATGACGAAAACAAGTGCCCAATCTACTTCCTTTACAATTGGAGGTGGATCAAGTCACATTTGTTCGAAGTTGGCCCAGTTACATCATCAGTATTAGTTCAGTCCCAGTTCTTCTCGTATGATGGTGGCGTTTACTCATCAGCTGATGCTACCGGAGAAATTTTGGGTATGTTGGACGTAACAATCTACGGCTGGGGCCAGGAAGATACATCAGTCGATCCAACAGCCACAAAGAAGAGATGGTGGTGGATTTCACCACATCTTGGCTGCGATTTTGGTATCGCATACGACGATATCTCAAGTTCCGACTCTGCTTACACCATCTCTAATGTTGCAGCTAGACACGTCAATGGCGGAACTAACTGCGCTAAGGGATTCATGAAATTCAACCGCCGTTTCGATGACTCTCTTATAGAGAGCTTCGCTATTGGCCCAACACCATACAACTTCATTCCAGGAGAATGGCTAGTTCAACAACAGGCACAGTAATTTTAATTTGTTTTATTTTTATTAAAACTTCTTTCATTTGAGTAAAAACCTTGTATTAATCTGATGATTTATGTAATTAGTTTTACTGTTTCTAAAAGAGATAATACTCAAGTCAAATTTGAAAATATCGATTTTGTAATATTCATTGTATTTATCAATATGTGGAACATTAGTATATGATAAGGCTTAAAAAGCTATGGTAGATCTATTTCTTAGAAAACGGCCAATAAATGGAATACATCTCAAAATGATATTTAGAAAGTTAGCTTTAGAATATTGTAACAGCAATATGTATCAAATAGTCTGTTTATTGGTATAAAGGATCATTCAATAATCAACACAAAATCGAGAACCAAATTTTATAAAATCATCGATCACTTTAACATGATCATATTTAGAAAGGCATTGGTTTATATTCTCGAAAGATAAGATTAAAAAGTAAAATTAAAAGATAATTAAAATAAAATTAAGTTTTACAGTTTATTCTTTGTAGTTTGTAACTTCAGATTTAATGAGTGGTGCAACAGCAGCAATGAATTGCTTTGAAAATTCCTCGTAACTGAATCTTGAGCATGAATTTCTGAATTGAAGTCTTGCAGAGTCATCGCACTTGAAAGCGACCTCGAGTTTAGCTGCGTATTCATCAGCTGTCAACGCGAGGTAGTTTTCGTCCTTGACAATGTCGTAAAGTGGTCCGGCAGACTTATTGCAGAGAGGAATGAGTCCTGCAGCAAGATATTCGACAGCGCAGATGCCGAAGTGCTCGTTGTACATTGTATGGAGTCCAACACTGCTGCGAGCGAAGTATTCGTTACGGAGAATATCGAAATCGCAATTTGGAACGAGTGTAATAGGGAGTTTGTCTCTGTCGATTTCTTCCTGAAGTCCGTCGAGTAATTTCTTGTCAGCTTCGTTACGGCAGCCGCCAATTATGTACAATTTCATATTTGGATGAGTATCTTTGAGTCTTCTGATGATTTCTAGCTGTAGAGGAAGGTTCTTTTCTGGTCTGAACTGCTGGACACTGATGATTTGTTCAGGAATTCTGTTTTCAATTGGTAATTTGCTCAAATCAGTTGTATCGCAAGGTGGGAAGAGAATAATTGGATCACGACGGAAGATTTCTCTTATGTGGTTACCTGTCCATGTGGAGTTCACTGTGATAACATCAGCAAAGTAGCCGCAAAGTGAATAAATGAAAGCAATGATACGATAGTATATAATTTTGATGGAAGTAAGGACTTTGGACTTGGCTATTTTTTGATTATTGTTGTACTGATCGTTTCCTGATGAAACTGCTTTGAGCATATCTGTTGAAATGAAAGGATAATGAATGTATAAGATAACCTTGCATCCGCCAAAAAGCTTCCATACGATGGATGCAAATGGTGCTCCGGTGGTATCAATGACGATAGCTGGAACTTCTTTATTCAAGCACTTAAATGCGTAAACGAGTGAGCCAATTGCTTGGAAGATGAGAGTGAAGTGCTTGTAGTAGCCTGGTTTAATGAAGTCAGCACTGCCAACATTGACGAATTTGATATTTGATGGGATATTGATCTTGAAAACTTTGTTTACCTTTTCTTGTGCGGAATCATTCGTAGCATCTTGGGCAAACAAATGCATTTCTGGGAGGTGTTCCTTAAGGGCATCAACTGCTACCCATAAAACTTTTTCACCGCCGCCGCAATCTAAGCAATTTGGATGGAAGAATGTAACAACATTCTTACGCTGTGATCTGTAGTAGAATGCAAGTGCGACAAGAGCTATCGCAACTAAAACAAACAACCAGAGAACCCAAATCATTTCTTATTTTTGTTTATTTGGTTGCAAATTTTGACGCAATTTTACAAATATGTAAAGCATTCAAATGTTGTGAACTGTTTTTTATTTTCAATAATTTTTAGAACAAAATACGAATCAAAACCAAAAATGCATCTTTTATGAATAATTTTTGTCAAAAAATATTTTCGTTATTTTTTGATGGGAATTCCTTTAATTATAGGGATTTCAGGTCCCACAACATCTGGAAAATCAACCATTTCGGAATCTATTGCGAATGACTTGCATTGTCCAATACTATGCACTGATGATTATTTTAAAGTTAATCCTGAAATGCCAAAGACGTATTTTGGAGATATAGAAGTGATAAATTTTGATAAAGTTGAATCTATTGATTGGAATATGCTAATCGAAGATATTAAAACTCGCTATGAAAATGAAAAATATTTAATACTAGAAGGCTTTATATTATTCGGACATCCTGATATACAAGATTATGTAAAAATGCTTATAAAGATAGATTATAATGACGATGATATGGAGATAGCTCTTAATCGAAGATTAACACGAAACGGATACAAAAATATAGAAGACTGTGAATCAAATCCATATGAAACTAGAGAGAAATTCTGTAACTTTTATTTTAGAAAGATTGCTTGGCCACAAAGAAAAGAAAATGCGAAATTTTTAATTCCTTCAAATTGGAAGAAACCCGTATTAGAATTGTCTGCAATAGATAATTTGGAAGCAAATATTGAGAAATCACGACAATTTGTTTCACAAAATCTTCCATCCAATTGTTTAATCATATGAAGAAACATATTTAGCACTCAACTTCAGCTTGTTAATTTCACTATCCGAAAGGACTATTTCAAAACCTAGTAGCTCATATTGTTTGTTCAAAATGTACCAAATTTTTCAAATTTGGTACTAAATTTATAGTAAATATTTCTGTCTCGACATATTATACGCTAGTATGAAAGAACTCCATAATGATATGTCCTTAATGCTTCTTATTAGCAAATGGTTGGTTGGCATTCTTTTTTAAAAATGGATAAATAGATAAAAAATGGACTTCAAAAACGGTTCAACACGAAATGGTGATACATTTACACAAATTGGCGATCGCCTCAATTTTGACAATTTGACAAAATGATTTAGAATTGATTTGATGATTTTTCTTGAACCACACACGAATTTTATGATGTAAAATGCGAAAAATAAAAATTACAAAATCATTATAAAAAGTGACTAATAAAAAAACAATGTTTAACTTCCTCAAATCTAAGAAAGAGATTCTTGTCAATGACATGAAAGAAGTTTATGAAGGACTCAAGGGTGCAGCCGAAGGTCGTATGAAATATGCAAACGGTTGGAAAGATTTCGCAAATTACACAAAAATTATGGTTTTATCTCAGAATTCAACCATCCAACCACAAATGGATCGCTTTGTTGACTTATTCACAAAGGTTGCCGAATGCCAACAGAAAATTGCAGAAGCTGAACTTCGCAATGCTGAAGATTTCAACGACGTTTCAGAGAGATTCGCCGTTGTATTCCGCAAGAACAACGAATACAATGATCAGAAGAGAACATTCCGTGAGTACGAAGCTAATTTAAAGGACGCCATCGCCAAGAATGAAGCAGAATCAAAGAAACCAAACTATGCAAAGTCACAGCAAAAGCTTGAAGCAGCAATTGAAAAATACAAGAGTCTTAAGGCCGAAGCTCTCGAACTTACAAAGCAAAGACTAAGAGATGTCATTGAAGCTCGTGAAGCTTACAACAAGTTCAAAGTTCGCAGATTCCAGCATGGTTGGATATTATACGGTCAAACTCTTAGAGATGAAAGTCAAAAGGAAGCATCATACTTAAAGCAAATCGAAGAACTTCTTCTTAGCCTCAAAAGTGACCTTGAATCTGGCAAGATCTCTGAAATTCAGGATCAAATCCAGACACATATTGAGGCCGCACCAGAGCCAGTCGATGTCGTCGCAGCTTCTCAAGCTCTCGAAGCACCAGCACCAGAAATACCACAGCCAGCCGAAGAACCACAACCAGTTGAAGAGCCACAGCATTATGATGAAGCAGATACTGCTATAGATACTACCCATCCAGCTGTCAATCCTTTCGAATAAAATCTTTTTAGTAATAATACTATATAGTATATGATTGCAAAACGTTTTTCTGATATCTACTTAATTTATATGTTAATATTGAATTATTTTGATTAATTACCTTATTTATCAAATAATCGCATTATGTTTTTCAGTATAGACTCTCTTAAAGGAAACCCTTTTTTAAACAAGACTTTTAGATTATAAATATATAGTAAATGTTCTTATTTATTGATATTTTTGAAATCAATTCTTTTATTTTCCACTGCAATCATCATTTTGCTATAAAAAAATAAAGACAAGAAATGAATTTATTTAAAACTAAGGGTAGATGAGATGATAAATTTATCTCTTTCAAACCGCAATCCTAAAAAAATTATCGATATGACTTTTTTACGGATATAACCGAAAAGTGACACTTAATGTCTGCTGTATATATTCTCGACAGCAAAGGACGTATCCTTATCAACTTCGACTACAGAGGCGAAGTCGATATGTCCATCCCAGATAAGTTCATGGCGCACATTCAATCAAACGACAAGATCCTTCCAAACCCAGTCTTCCGTGTTGATGACTGGTGCTTTGCATACATCGAGCGCTCTGGTCTCTACTTGCTTACCGTCACACGCACAAACTCAAACGTTACACTTCTTCTTACATTCCTTTCTTCTCTTGTTAAAGTCTTCGAATACTATTTAGGAACACTCTCTGCCGAAACAATTATCGATAACTTCTCCCTTGTCTACGAACTTCTCGATGAAGTTATGGATTATGGCTACCCACAAATTACCGATCCACAGTCCTTGTCCGAATATATCCAGCGTGATAAGCCACGTGACATCAACGCCCAGCCAAAGACAGTCCCAGTCTCCGCTACAGGTGTCGTCAACTGGCGTAAACCAGGCCTCGAGTACGCAGTTAACGAAGTCTTCGTTGATGTCATTGAGAAGGTCAATATGCTTGTTGCCAAGAATGGCGCTGTCATCCACAACGAAATCGTTGGTGAGATCAACCTTGCTACATACCTTTCAGGTATGCCAGAACTCCGTATCGGCCTCAACGACAAGATCCTCTTCGATCAGAACGGAAACGGAGATCACCAGACAGATGTTTCCCGTCGTGTCTTTGAGCTTGAAGATATCAAGTTCCACGCATGCGTTAAGCTCTCCCAGTTCGAGCGCGACCGCTCCATCACATTCATCCCACCAGATGGCGAATTCAACCTCATGAGGTACCGCCTTTCCGCTGCTATCAAGCCAATCATCCACATCGATTCTACAATCGAACGCTATAAGAGATCTCGTGTCGAAATGCTTATCCGCGCCCGTGCTCAGTATCGTCCACAGTCTGTCGCTCAGAACGTTACAATCCGTGTCCCAGTTCCTCCGGATGTCGATACTCCAAAGGCTCAGTGCACAGCTGGTCGTATGAGATACTCTCCAAACGATAACGCTCTCGTCTGGACAATCAAGCAGTTCCCAGGCCGCAAGCAATTCTCCCTCCGCGCTCACTTCGGCCTCCCATCCGTTGAATCTGAAGAAGAAGAATCAAAGCGCCCAATTGTTGTCAACTTCGAAATCCCATTCTTCACAGTCTCTGGCCTTCGCGTTCAGTACCTCAAGGTTATCGAACAGACTGGCTACCAGGCTGTTACTTGGGTTCGCTACCTTACAACAGATGGCACTTACGAATTCCGTACATAAAAACTTCGAGATTTTTCCTCCTTCATTTATTAAAAAAATACGAATCGATTTTTTTATATAATTTTTTTCAAAAAAATCTAATTTTGATAAATTGACTCGTAAACTTAGGAATAAACTATTATGTACCGCAATACAATGAATGTTACCAAAATACATGACAATCAAAACAACTCAAGCTCTACAAAGGCTCACGTCAATATTAAATAACATTGTCATTGATCCATTTAGATATGATTTTCTTTTCCAATAAGTAATGTATCGATATGATCTGCGCTAATAAGATTAAGAGAATTTCATCTCAATGATCGATTTTATAACAAATAGGTTGAAATCTCTTTGTGTTAAGGTCAGGTAGGTGGGGCTTCCAGGCGCGTTGCGCCCTCTAGCCCATAAGAAATTTTGCCCAAGACCCAAGAGGAGGACCGAACCCCAGCCGACCAGCCGGTGACAAAACCAAAACCGTTGTTATTTACATCATATTAATGGTGTCACTTTTTAAATGTCACTTTTTGTGTCGCTTTTCACAAATTATATATGTTTTCATGTTTTGTCACTTTTCTGTTACTTTTCGGGTAAAAACATTTTTATTATTATATATAAATGAATTTTACAAAACCACCGTTACCGTTCTTTGGAAATAAGAGTAGATGTAAAGATATTATATTGAGAGAACTTAAGAAACTACCGAATGGTCTAACATTTGTAGATTTGTTCGGTGGAAGTTTCTATATATCCCATTTATTTCATACCGTATTTCCTGACTCAAAGATTATATGCAATGACTTCGACAACTATATGGACCGTCTCAAACATATTCCAGACACAAACAATATATTGAAAGAGTTAAAGAAAAGATACCTATAGGTAAGATGGAACGTATACCATTAGATAAGAAAAATATTGTGAGAGAGGTTTTGAAAAAAGCAGAATATATAGACTGGGATAGTATATCTGCTAGACTATTATATAGTGGTGCTATAAGAGTTCATGACATTGAAACACTTATGTCAAAAGTTTTATATCTTAACTATACAAATGTTTTCAAAGAGGACATAGAAAAATATATTGAGGGTATAGAGTTTGTGAGATGTCATTGGACAGAGTTGTATGAAAAATATAAAGACAAGGAAAATGTTTCTTTATAGTGGACCCGCCGTTCTATAACACATGGGATTTTCAATACCAAGTAGACTGGACTTTGAGAGACTCTTTAGAAACTTTAGACGTTATACATAACCATCCATGCTTTTACTTTACATCCGATAAAAGTGGTTTGGAAACCGTTATGAGATGGTTAGAGGACATACATGACTATGAGTTTATATATGACAAGATAGAATATGAGAGAGGTCCTATAAACTGAGAGAAAGTGTCACAATAAAGAAATTTTATTAGTAAGTAAATGTGGTTTGAAATAGGACTACTTGTTTTAGGTTTTTTCCATTGTGTCATTTATTTATTTGACGTGGCAGAAAATACAGAGAATATGAAGATGAACCAATGCCTGCAAATGTTCAGTATATGTACTCGTAAGAGATATTTTTATCTAATATTAAATGGACGCACAGAACTTAGCGAATGCACAGCAACCTGGACAACCAAACCCAGAGAATATTCCAAATGAAGTTAGAATACAAACTGCAATGGCAAACTATGGTCAAGTGCCAACAGATGTACAAATGCAAACTGCCATGTCAAATGACGCTGCGTTAGGTTTGCCACCATGGTATGCAAATATGAGATGGAAAGAGTTTTATACAAACCCTGAAGTGGGATATAAACAACTTTATGCAGATGACGCGAACACATGAGTTGACCCAGAATATGTTTTCTACCAGAGGAGAAACAGAATGTATGAGCTCCAGTTAAAGAATGCTATGGAACTCAACAGGAAACGTAAGAGACTAGGCGGACATTAGATTTTTACCTATAGTAAAATGGGTTTCTTCAGTAAGATAGGAAACTTCTTTCGAAATGTTGGAAGAGGTATATGGAATGGAATAAAATCTGTCGGAAGAGGAATTTGGAACGGAGTCAAAAATATTGGTAAAAGAGTAGGTCAGTTCGTTGGTATTATACCTAAAGACCCTGAACCAGAAGAACAAGCTCCTGTTATACAACAGCCTGAACCTGCACCACAGTCTAGTTGGCAACCAAATCCAACACCTCAACCGTATTAAAAAATTATATTTTTATCGTTCGATAGTAGTTGTATATGAAACTAAGTTCTAAGTAAAACGCATGGTATAATGGAATTATTCTTTTTCTTCCATCTGTAGTAAACCATACTTGAAAGTCTGAAATACTTCCACTCGGCGGTTCATATAACTTTGTAGGTTTTTCGTAAAAGTCATTCATCAGACATAAGAAAGAGTTTTGCGCACCAGAAAATGAAGCATGAACAATAATAGCATCTGGGTCGAAAATATTTTCATATGTTCCATTAGGTTTTTCGACTTCATAATAGTCCGGGTGTACTGGATATGCTGCAGGATGATTTAACATCCTCATAAATCTATACCATGCCAAGTTGTTATATTTTGTAGAAATATAAACGTTTTCTCCAAGGTCTTCTATTTTATTGATTTTAACAGTTGCATTTTTCCTGTCATAAATAATATCGAGATGGTATTCTCCTTCGTCAATGTTAAACTGGTTTGCATATTCAATATAGATATCGTTTATTTTTTCTTGAAAAAGCTTGAAGAGTTGTTTCTAAATTTATAAGCAAATTAACTTGTAAAAGTTTTCCTTGTTCAAATTTCTCATACATACGTTTTTCTTTGTTATAGTATCGAACTTCAAAACCGACCGTAAATGGGAAACATGTATGGCTTCTGAAATGAACTTCATTCTACGAAAGCCAATAGCTTTTGTGACGGATGGGTCTCTTAACCATCTTAATGGGTAGTCAAAACGATAGCCTTCATGCTTTACGGTATCTGTCTCAAACTTTTGACCGACATTAGTAAAAGTTCATCTAATGGTTTAGTTGTAGCAACTCTAGAATTTTCTTTTTCTATTGAAGCATATTTTATCTATAATAAAAATGTCAAATGAAACAGCGTCTATGAGAGAAATACAACACAACCGACAACTCATTATGCAAGCTCTAAATAAGAACACAACAAACTTTTCAAACTATTCTAAGATATCTGAGTCATTGAAAGGGGTGACTTAAAACTGACAATAAACCCAATGACAGATGAGTTTCTGTTTCAAGACAATAAGAACCATACTGTCTGTATAAATCCAACAAAAGGAACTTTAAACGAGAAAACCTATAAATGAACTTCGTTTGAAAGCAGATGTTGACAACAAAGCTGACAAAGAATATGTAACGATGCAATAGCAAAAGAAGAAGAAAGAGCTAACAATGCTTATGCAACAAAAGAACATACTCATCCTGAACTAGCAGACAAAACATATGTTGACAATAAAATGTCAAGTGAAGTGACAAGAGCTGAAAACGAATATTCTAAAAAGACTCATATACATTAGTTAGTATACATATCATGTGTACGGAGGCACTGCGAGCCTCCTTACCCATTATATGTGAATTTGACACTTTACAAAATCGTTAACGTATATTTTACAACACAAACACAAACACCAACTTAACCTTAAATATTTACAAAGCCGCCAATCACTTCACTTCACTAACGTTTTCACAAACGACTTCACTACTGTAAAAAATAAACGTTCTCACTTACAAAAGTATTGCAACTCCTCCCATTGCTGTGCTTCACACAATACTTCATATTCTTCAGTATCGCTGCTGTCGCTCCAATCGTCAGAGTCAAAGTCACTGTCAAAATAAATGTTAGTAAGTTTTGACAAAGCTAATGAAACACGCTTACCGTTTGTATCGTATGCTTGTATAAACTTTCCATTCTTCATTCCTTCATAAACGCTCAAACTAACTTTACCCTTTCTCCCTCGTATCTGATAGAATGTATTTTCACGAGGAACGAAGAACAAATTCTTGAACTCATGACCGTTGTAGTTTGTTATCTCAATAGTTTTCGTCATTTATATAAAAATAAATGATATCACCACCCTCACACGTATGAAAACATAGCACAAAAATAATGTTTAGGTGAAGTGGTGAGATTTCACCTCTTTTTTCACCCTGTTGAATTCATTGCTTTATAACTCTCTTCCTTGGTTTCTTTTTAGTTGCTTTCTTCACGTCTGTCTCCAACTTGACTGTCTTTCTTCTTCGCCGTAATGATACCATTACTTCCACCAGTCAATGGGTCAAATGGTCTTTCATAAGGGTTTCCATACATTCCATAGGACCATGGAAAACGCTGGTGGAGAAGAAACATTTTCTTTAGTTCCATCGAATCTATTTAAATGCATTGTTTCACCTTTCATCTGGTCATTAAAGTCTTTTGCGTGTTTTGCAAACTCATCGTCCTTTCCTAAAGCATTTTCTGACTCAGTCGCAACCAAATTGGATGCTTTATTTATGAGCCCTATTTTATTTAATCTTAACTTCTTTGCAACCCAGCCTCCAATCTTTCCTTTATTTGCATCTAATGTCTTCGAAACCCTTCCTCCACTCATTTTATTTACTGCGTCATAAGCTCCAAGTGCTTTTGCTCCAAATGCTAATGCTTTTGTTCCCATTGCGCCTAAAGCTGCCCAAGCTACCATTTACACCATATTAAAATCATCTCTCTTCAATATTATCTCATAAAAGTTCTCGTTACTGGAGAAAGTCAATGAAACATAAGCGTTCTCATTCATAAACTTCTTTCTTATATCATCTATACGCTTCAAAATGTCTGAACAATTGCTAACATCTTCTACAACAGTTATTTCATCATGAATGACCTTCAAGAACAAGCTCATTTAATATGCTATTAAAATCATCTCAATAATGAGTCCATCCTTTCCGTCTTTGGTAGCACAACATCTTTCATTGAAGAAGGTTCGACAAGTCTTATGTTAAACTTACTGACAAAGTTTGTTATACTATAATGCTTCGGCGG